TTGTCCCCTGAAGACAGGTGCACGAAATGTTTTAAGCCAATATTATTCAGCCCAGTTCTTCTGAATGGCACTCTCCGACTGTCATAGTTAAAAAACGTGATACTTACCGCTTTGCCGCTTTCCAAACCGATACTTTTCCCTCTACCACCTCTGCTAATACTTTTAAACTAAACAAGTCACCTACTTAGGGCATATCTTCAGCAAAGATGGCATCCATGTCGATCCTTCAAAAATAGATCACAAAGATCCCACCCTCTAAAATGTCCATGGCGTGTGTTATTTTTTAGATTTGGCCTCGTATTATCACAAATATGTAGCAAACCTTTCTGGCATCGCCTCCCCTCTATACAACCTTCTGAAAAAAATGCGTTTTTCGAATGGTCCAACAATTGCCAACAGGCATTCGAAAAGCTAAAGCAAGCCCTTACAACAGCCCTTATCCTTGCAAACCCTTTATCCTCACAACTGATACACATCAAACTGCAATGGGATGCATTTTAGGCTAACTTGATTCTCATGGAGTAACTTGGAATTCATGTCTTTTAACCATACAAGTATCTTCCTGTTCTGTTTTTAGGAACAAACAATGTTGATTGGTAACAACTGTTATGGCCTCTTGAAATGGAAGATTTGAAATGAATATTAATAAATAAGGGTTACAGGCACACTGTCTCTCATGTTCATGTCTCTGTGTCAAGGATTATGGCTTTGCTCACTAAAGACTCTGTATTGATGAGGATGGCCATATTGTGGTTGAGACTTTTTTATTGAGGCTGACTTATTATTTTTTCAAGCAGATGGAGGCTGAGGTATTTATTTACACAAAATTATGAGCTGTGTTGGGTTGGGTTGGTTTTGTCAGAGACCATATGGTCTCTGGTTTTGTTTTTTATAACCGGGCAATTGTTGTTACTGTTAATCCTCCACCTACTATATATATTCTGTACTATGTCCCTCATTCAGTCTTGCTTCACAACGGTATAGGGATCTATACCGAAACGTCGCTTTTTGTACAGTATTAAAGAAGTTGTTATCCATAAAACTGTGTCTACCTTGTCATCCGTCAACTTCTTAGTAATGCCTATCAAACAAAAAGACCCTTATTGACTCTCGTTGATTATTTTTTGTTGTAGCAAGAGGCATAACGACGTCTTCAAGTTGTTTTGTTTGGACTGCCGTGGACACAAATCAGAAACCTGATATTTAAAGCAATAATTTCAATTTTGTCATAATTGTTATGAGTTAATAAATATAACTAAATAACTCTGTTACATAACATTTCATGAGGTTGATTTTTTTGTTATTCATGGGTGTTTTGTAACATTTCATAAGTTTGAAGAAAGTTAAATATTGATTATAGCTAAAATGGATAGAATTTTCATGAAACAGCCCGCCAGTTATCAGGCAAAATGCGACTCGTGGTCTTTATCTATCGTTTAATTCTCGCTGCAGTGTTTTATTGTACGATACACAAGGTCCACGAGTCGTTTATTTTTTGGTAATAGATATAAACATTGTGTACAGCCTTTTTAAGGATCTCAATAAAATGTACATACTTTAACGTTCCTGATAATGGTGACTCCCTAAATACAATTCTATTTTTGAACAGGGCGCTAATGTTTGGTATTTCTCCGATATTCTCACAATTTTCACGTCGGTTATCTGTACCTTTTCCCAAAATACCGATTGTTACATCTCTCCCACGATTGAATGCGATCGCTCGGCCATTGCGTTCCAGCTACATCTATGGGGAACAACTCACTATACACCTCTCCTCTCAAAAATAACGTCGTCCAATTTTCAAAGTCATCAAGTTGCGAGCGCATGTTCGAATCTCCAGAAATGACGTCATGATAGAACAATGTTTTATCGTGAAATAGACCACGCTTCGTTCTTCATTGTTCTTTGCGATTTATCGCGTAACTATCTTAAATAAATTGATAATGCCCTCATTTTGCCTGACGACGGGTCATTATCATTCACGTTGCATTATGACGTCATAGTCAATTTGCATGATAACGTCAACAAACACGGTGTCTGAATTTCACCTCACGAGTAGACTGATGATATCTAGCGCATATATTTATAAGAAAACAATAACGATTCTAAGTGAGTAAACACCCGAAAGAGTCGAAACGGAGGTTAAATCGAACACAATGGTCAAGTGCAACGCTTAAGGCTGTATCTGATAGGCGCACATTCCTTGAAGATGTCAGTTTCAGTCGATGCACGGTCAACCATTGAATTTCAATGATAATGTTAACGTCCTGCAAAACTCTGAAAACTGAGGCATGAATAACTCATCCCATATTGGTGAAATCGAAGGCTAATGTCGAATAATGTCTTGCGACTTATAGTGATTACAACTGTTTAACTTGTTTTGAATGATTCCATTGTCTTGTTTTAGGAAATGTATCATGCGGTATTGGCAGACCTCTGCAGTCACTATTTGAAATAATGAAATAAACAAAATACAAACAACCCACGTTTTATTCGAATTGCGCGTCCCATCTTCATGGAAGTGATAGTGGCGTTTATCGTAATCAAAAATAGACGTCCGACTTGAATAGACAGACGGAGGTTGAAATACGTCTCTGAAATAAATAGACGCCCGGGCGTCCCTTCAAGTATTTACGGTTTGCATATCAAATAAAATATTTCCCGTATTCAAATTTATTTTTTAACTATGATGCTGGAGGATGACCAGATACTTGCGCAGTGTCCATTTTATTGAATAATAGTTTGGATTCCATCGCTTCATAACATACTGTATCTGGGCGAAGAATGGGCAAGCTGGAGTTGGTCTGCTGCTGTGTGGACCACCAGTAGTACTCAACTGGAGACACGGGACAACGTGACAGTTCATATGGTCAGTCTGGCCTGGGATCTGGGTGTTAAGTCAAAACCGGCTACAGATAAATCCACACATGGAAAGCATCCTCGATCTGTATTCGTTTCGGGTTGTTTGTAGAGTTGTGGTGAACTCCGAGTTGAGTTAGGATTGACGGATAAACAATAGTAACACGGTGGACGTGGGGGATGAGCAACATACAAGATTGGCTGTCCGGTTCTTTTCTTTGTTCCCAATTTTAGAAGGATCCATCAGAGTCAGCTAAACATTTATGACACGTGAGAGCTGCTTGGTAGAAACGAGCTTAAGAAACGGTACACATCGTTTACATAGGTGCTGAACAGACGGATGGGGCCTGCTAAGGGTTGGGGTGATAGATAGCTACGTGATCATTCATTCATATACCAAAGTCATTAGGCTGCAGGGGTTACACTAGTCCTCAGTATCGCAGGCGTTCTGGGCGTAACACAACCTTGGCGATAGGCATGTCTCTGGATCATAGTAACCTTGGTGTTGGGCATGGCGTTGGACCACAGGAAGTTTGACGTTAGACATGGCACTAGAATACAGCAACCTTGGCGTCGGACAGGGCTCTGGATCACAGTAGCCTTACTGCGTTTCTGTGACCCCACCTTAATCCTGCTACTGTAACCTAGGCGTGACACAGGGCCACAGTAACCTAGGCGTGACACAGGGTCACAGTAATCTGAGCGTGACACAGGGCCACAGTAACCTGGACGTGATACAGGGCTACATAAATCTGAGCGTGACACAGAGCCACAGTAATCTGAGCGTGACACAGGGTCACAGTAATCTGAGCGTGACACAGGGCCACAGCAACCTGGGCGTGACACAGGGACACAGTAACCTACGCGTGACACAGGGCCACAGTAATCTGAGCGTGACACAGGGCCACAGTAACCTGGTCGTGTTACAGGGCTACATTAATCCGAGCGTGACACAGAGCCACAGTAATCTGGGCGTGACTCAGGGTCACAGTAATCTGAGCGTGACACAGGGCCACAGTAACCTAGGCGTGACATAGGGCCACAGTAAACTGGACGTGACACAGGGTCACAATAATATGGGCGTGTCAATGGGCCAAAGTAAACTGGGCGTAACACAGGGCCACAGTAACCTGGGCGTGACACTGAACCACAGTACCCTGGGCGTGACACTGGACACAGTAACCTGGGCGTGATACTGGACAACAGTAACCTGGGCGTGACACGGGGCGACAGTAATCTGGGCGTGACACAGGGTCACAGTAATCTGAGCGTGACACAGGGTCACAGTAATCTGAGCGTGACACTTGGCCACAGTAACCTAGGCGTGACACAGGGCCACAGTAATCTGAGCGTGACACAGGGCCACAGTAATCTGGACGTGGTACAGGGCTACATTAATCTGAGCGTGACATAGAGCCACAGTAATCTGGGCGTGACACAGGGTCACAGTAACCTGAGCGTGACACAGGGCCACAGCAACCTGGGCGTGACACAGGGCAACAGTAACCTGGCCGTAACACAGGGCCACAGTAACCTGGGCGTGACACTGAACCACAGTACCCTGGGCGTGACACTGGACACAGTAACCTGGGCGTGATACTGGACAACAGTAACCTGGGCGTGACACAGGGCCACAGTAAACTGAGCGTGACACAGGGCCACAGTAAACTGGGCGTGACACTGAACCACAGTAATCTGAGCGTGACACAGGGCCACAGTAACCTGGGCGTGACACTGGGCCACAGTAACCTGGGCGTGACACAGAGCTACAGTAACCTGAGCGTGACACAGGACCACAGTAATCTGGGCGTGGCACTGGACAACAGTAACCTTGGCGTGACACTGGACCACAGTGACCTGGGCGTGACACTGGACCACAGAACCCTTGGCGTGACACAGGGCCACAGTAACCTTTTGCGTGACACAGGGCCACAGTAACCTGGGCGTGACAATGGACCACAGTAACCTGGGCGTGACACTGGACAACAGCAACCTGGGCGTGACACTGAACCACAGAAACCTAGGCGTGACACTGGGCCACAGTAACCTGGGCGTGACAATGGACCATAGAAGCCTGGCCGTGACACTGGACCACAGTAACCTTTTGCGTGACACAGGGCCACAGTAACCTGGGCGTGACGATGGACCACAGTAACCTGGGCGTGACACTGGACAACAGCAACCTGGGCGTGACACTGAACCACAGTAACCTAGGCGTGACACTGGACCACAGTAACCTGGGCGTGGCACTGAACCACAGTGACCTGGGCGTGACACTGGACCACAGTAACCTGGGCGTGACACTGGACAACAGCAACCTGGGCGTGACACTGAACCACAGTAACCTAGGCGTGACACTGGACCACAGTAACCTGGGCGTGGCACTGAACCACAGTACCCTGGGCGTGACACTGGACACAGTAACCTGGGCTTTATACTGGACAACAGTAACCTGGACGTGACACAGGACCACAGTATCCTAGGCGTGACACAGGGCCACAGTTATCTGAGCGTGACACATGGCCACAGTTATCTGAGCGTGACACTGGACAACAGTAACCTAGGTGTGACACCGGACAACAGCAACCTGGGCGTGACACTGAACCACAGTAACCTAGGCGTGACACTGGACCACAGTAACCTGGGTGTGGCACTGGACAACAGTAACCTGGGCTTGACACTGGGCCACAGTAACCTGGGCGCGACAATGGACCATAGAAGCCTGGGCGTGACACTGGACCCATGTAACCTGGGCGTGACACTGGACCACAGTAACCCGGGCGTGACACTGGACAACAGAAACCGGGGCGTGACACAGGGCCACAGTAACCTAGGCGTGACACAGGGCCACAGTAACCCAGGCGTCCCACTGGACAACAGAAACCGGTGCGTGACACAGGGCCACAGTAACCTGGGCGTGACACTGGACCACAGTAACCCGGGCGTCACACTGGACAACAGAAACCTGGGCGTGACACTGGACCACAGTAACCTGGGTGTGACACAGGGCCACAGTAAGCTGGGCGCGAGAATGGACAACAGAAGCCGGGGCGTGACACAGGGCCACAGTAACCTAGGCGTGACACTGGACCCATGTAACCTGGGCGTGACACTGGACCACAGTAACCTGGGCGTGACACTGGACAACAGAAACCAGGGCGTGACACAGGGCCACAGTAACCTGGGCGTGACAGAGGGCCACAGTAATCTGAGCGTGTCACATGGCTACAGTAACCTGGGCATGACACTGAACCACAGTAACCTGGGCTTGATACTGGACAACAGCAACCTGGACGTGACACAGGGCCACAGTAACCTAGGCGAGACACAGGGCCACAGTTATCAGAGCGTGACACATGACCATAGTTATCTGAGCTTGACACAGGGCCACAGTAATCTGAGCGTGACACATGACCACACCAACCTAGGTGTGACACAGGACAACAGTAACCTATGCGTGACACCGGACAACAGTAACCTGGGCGTGACACAGGACCACAGTAACCTGGGCGTGACACTGAACCACAGTAACCTGGGTGTGACACTGGGCCACAGTAACCTGGGCGTGAAACTTGACCCCAGTAACCTGGGCGTGGCACTAGACAACAGTAACCTGGGCGAAACACAGGGCCACAGTAACCTGGGCGTGACACTGGACCACAGTAACCTGGGTGTGACACAGGGCCACAGTAACCTGGGCGTGACACTGGACCACAGTAACCTTCGAGTTTGGCGTGGCACTGGACCACAGTAACCTTCGAGTTGGGCGTGACACTAGACCACAGTACCCTAGGCGTGGCACAGGGCCACAGTAACCCGGGTGTGACACAGGGCCACAGTAGCCTTGGCGTGCCACTGGACCACAGTAACTTTGGCGTGGCACTGGACCACAGTAATCTAGGTGTAGTACTGGACCACAGTAACCTAGGCGTGGCCCTGGACCACAGTAACCTAGGCTTGGCACTAGACCACAGCAACTATAGCGTGACACGAAAGTAAACTTGGTGTGGCACTGAACCACAGTACCCTAGGCGTGGCACTGGACCACAGTAGCTTAGGCGTGGCACTGGACCACTGTAACCTAGGTGTAATAATGGCCCACAGTACCCTAGGCGTGGCACTGGACCACAGTAGCTTAGGGGTGGCACTGGACCACTGTAACCTAGGTGTACTACTGGACCACTGTTACCAAGGTGTACCACTGGACCACAGTAACCTCAGCGTGGCAGTGAACCACAGTAACATTGGCGTGACAACCTTCGAGTTGGGCGTGGCACTGGACCACAGTAACCTTCGAGTTGGGCGTGACACTAGACCAAAGTAACCTTGGCGTGGCACTGGGCCACAGTAACCTAGGTGTAGTACTGGACCACAGTAACCTAGGTGTAGAACTGGACCACAGTAACCTAGGTGTAGTACTGGACCACAGTAACCTAGGTTTAGTACTGGATCACAGTAACCTATGTGTAGTACTTGACCACAGTAAAGTGGGTGTAGCTCTGGACCTAGTAACCTAGGCGTGACACTGGACCACAGTAACCTGGGCGTGGCACTGAACCAAAGTACCCTGGGCGTGACACTGGACACAGTAACCTGGGCTTTATACTGGACAACAGTAACCTGGACGTGACACAGGGCCACAGTAACCTAGGCGTGACACAGGGCCACAGTTATCTGAGCGTGACACATGGCCACAGTTATCTGAGCGTGACACTGGACAACAGTAACCTAGGTGTGACACCGGACAACAGTAACCTATGCGTGACACAGGGCCACAGTAACCCGGGCGAGACACTGAACCAGAGTAACCTGGGTGTGACACTGGGCCATAGTAACTTGGGCGTGACACTTGATCCCAGTAACCTGGGCGTGGCACTAGACAACAGTAACCTGGGCGAGACACATGGCCACAGTAAACTGGGCGTGACACTGGACAACAGTAACCTGGGTGTGACACATGGCCACAGAAACCTGGGCGTGACACTGGACCACAGTGACCTGGTCGGGACACTGGACCACAGTAACCTGGGCGCGACACTGGACCACAGTTATCTTGGCGTGACACTGGACAACAGTAACCGGGGCGTGACACAGGACCACAGTAACCTGGGCGTGACACTGGACAACAGGAACCTGGGCGTGACACTGAACCACAGTAACCTAGGCGTGACACTGGACCACAGTAACCTGGGAGTTGCACTGGACCACAGTAACCTGGGCGTGACACTGGACAACAGAAACCTGGGCGTGACACTGGACAACAGCAACCTGGGCGTGACACTGAACCACAGTAACCTAGGCGTGACACTGGACCACAGTAACCTGGGTGTGGCACTGGACAACAGTAACCTGGGCTTGACACTGGGCCACAGTAACCTTTTGCGCGACAATGGACCATAGAAGCCTGGGCGTGACACTGGACCCATGTAACCTGGGCGTGACACTGGACCACAGTAACCCGGGCGTGACACTGGACAACAGAAACCGGGGCGTGACACAGGGCCACAGTAACCTAGGCGTGACACAGGGCCACAGTAACCCAGGCGTCCCACTGGACAACAGAAACCGGTGCGTGACACAGGGCCACAGTAACCCGGGCGTGACACTGGACCACAGTAACCCGGGCGTCACACTGGACAACAGAAACCTGGGCGTGACACTGGACCACAGTAACCTGGGTGTGACACAGGGCCACAGTAAGCTGGGCGCGAGAATGGACAACAGAAGCCGGGGCGTGACACAGGGCCACAGTAACCTAGGCGTGACACTGGACCCATGTAACCTGGGCGTGACACTGGACCACAGTAACCTGGGCGTGACACTGGACAACAGAAACCAGGGCGTGACACAGGGCCACAGTAACCTGGGCGTGACAGAGGGCCACAGTAATCTGAGCGTGTCACATGGCCACAGTAACTTGGGCATGACACTGAACCACAGTAACCTGGGCTTGATACTGGACAACAGCAACCTGGACGTGACACAGGGCCACAGTAACCTAGGCGAGACACAGGGCCACAGTTATCAGAGCGTGACACATGACCATAGTTATCTGAGCTTGACACAGGGCCACAGTAATCTGAGCGTGACACTGGACCACAGCAACCTAGGTGTGACACCGGACAACAGTAACCTGGGCGTGACACAGGACCACAGTAACCTGGGCGTGACACTGAACCACAGTAACCTGGGTGTGACACTGGGCCACAGTAACCTGGGCGTGACACTTGACCCCAGTAACCTGGGCGTAGCACTAGACAACAGTAACCTGGGCGAAACACAGGGCCACAGTAACCTGGGCGTGACACTGGACCACAGTAACCTGGGTGTGACACAGGGCCACAGTAACCTGGGCATGACACTGGACCACAGTAACCTTCGAGTTTGGCGTGGCACTGGACCACAGTAACCTTCGAGTTGGGCGTGACACTAGACCACAGTAACCTGGGCGTGACACTGGACAACAGAAACCAGGGCTTGACACAGGGCCACAGTAACCTGGGCGTGACAGAGGGCCACAGTAATCTGAGCGTGTCACATGGCCACAGTAACCTGGGCATGACACTGAACCACAGTAACCTGGGCTTGATACTGGACAACAGCAACCTGGACGTGACACAGGGCCACAGTAACCTAGGCGAGACACAGGGCCACAGTTATCAGAGCGTGACACATGACCATAGTTATCTGAGCTTGACACTGGGCCACAGTAATCTGAGCGTGACACTGGACCACAGCAACCTAGGTGTGACACCGGACAACAGTAACCTGGGCGTGACACAGGACCACAGTAACCTGGGCGTGACACTGAACCACAGTAACCTGGGTGTGACACTGGGCCACAGTAACCTGGGCGTGACACTTGACCCCAGTAACCTGGGCGTGGCACTAGACAACAGTAACCTGGGCGAAACACAGGGCCACAGTAACCTGGGCGTGACACTGGACCACAGTAACCTGGGTGTGACACAGGGCCACAGTAACCTGGGCGTGACACTGGACCACAGTAACCTTCGAGTTTGGCGTGGCACTGGACCACAGTAACCTTCGAGTTGGGCGTGACACTAGACCACAGTACCCTAGGCGTGGCACAGGGCCACAGTAACCCGGGTGTGGCACAGGGCCACAGTAGCCTTGGCGTGCCACTGGACCACAGTAACTTTGGCGTGGCACTGGACCACAGTAATCTAGGTGTAGTACTGGACCACAGTAACCTAGGCGTGGCCCTGGACCACAGTAACCTAGGCTTGGCACTAGACCACAGCAACTATAGCGTGACACTAGAGAAAAGTAAACTTGGCGTGGCACTGAACCACAGTACCCTAGGCGTGGCACTGGACCACAGTAGCTTAGGCGTGGCACTGGACCACTGTAACCTAGGTGTAATAATGGCCCACAGTACCCTAGGCGTGGCACTGGACCACAGTAGCTTAGGGGTGGCACTGGACCACTGTAACCTAGGTGTACTACTGGACCACTGTTACCAAGGTGTACTACTGGACCACAGTAACCTCAGCGTGGCAGTGAACCACAGTAACATTGGCGTGACAACCTTCGAGTTGGGCGTGGCACTGGACCACAGTAACCTTCGAGTTGGGCGTGACACTAGACCAAAGTAACCTTGGCGTGGCACTGGGCCACAGTAACCTAGGTGTAGTACTGGACCACAGTAACCTAGGTGTAGAACTGGACCACAGTAACCTAGTTGTAGTACTGGACCACAGTAACCTAGGTGTAGTACTGGATCACAGTAACCTATGTGTAGTACTTGACCACAGTAAAGTGGGTGTAGCTCTGGACCACAGTAACCTTCGAGTTGGGCGTGGCACTGGACCACAGTAACTTCAGCGTGGCAGTGAACCACAGTAACATTGGCGTGACACAGACAAAAGTCAACTAGACGTACCACTGGACCACAGTAACCTTCGAGTTAGGCGTGGCACTGGACCACAGTAACCTCAGCGTGGCACTGGACCACATTAACCTTTGAGTTAGGCGTGCCACTGGACCACGGTAACCCAGGCGTGTCACAGGATTAAGGTAGGATTAATGTATAAAGATAACACTATCTCGATGAAGCCAATGTGATTACCAGGAGAGAAGCCAATCAATCAAAATGTTCATTTGTTGTTGATAATGTGATTAAAGCACAGAAGAGAACACGCTGGGTAGGTAGATACTTTGGTCTGTTAATGACTGGCTCCTTTTTTGGATTTCAATAGTTTCTATTTCTAAGTTTCCTATCTTTTTCCAATGACCGATGTTGGTATGGCGAATCTTGGTTTGTTGCCAGGAAATATGATCGTCAGGATCTTTAATGACGTGTTCCGGAAGGGCAGATTTTACTGGATCACAGTAACATTGGTGTTAGGCATGAACTTGACAACATTAGACATGGCACGGGATCAAAGCAGCCTTGACGTTACCCATGGCACTGGATTATAGGAACCTTGGCTTTAGGCATGGCACTGCGTCAAAGTAATCTTGGTGCGGCTGTAGATCACAGGAACCTTGGCGTTAGGCGTGGTACTAGATCGCAAATACCTTTGCGTTTAACATGGTACTGGATCACAAGAACCTTGGCGTTTGGAATGGTACTCGAACACAGTAAGCTTGGCGTTTGGAATGGTACTGGATCACAGTAACCAAGGCGTTTGGAATGGTACTGGATCACCGTAAACCAAGGCGTTTGGAATGGTACTGGATCACAGTAACCTTGGCGTTAGGCATGGTACTGGACCACAGTAACCTTGG